CCCTTTGGTTCTATTTAAAGTATGTCTTGTCCTATTATCTCTGAGGCTGAAATTTGGAAGGGTTTCTTAATAAACTCAATGTACTGCAGAGCCACAAGAAAAATTCTTCCTCCTCCACAGCTTTTCAGACAGTCCTTCTACAGTTATTCCTTCCTCGTATTTCCAGAAGCATTAGCATCTCCCCACCTATGAAAGGAGCACAGTTTTCTTAGTGGATTCCTGCTGGGAAGGGTATAATCTCACCACCAGCTTCCAGGGATTTATATAGGGTCAGTCTAACCCATTTGTCCTGGCAGCCCAGCTTTGTAATTGTCCCACTGCTTAGTGCCTCTTTCAGACAGCTCTCTGCTGTTAGCTCAGGGTCCCATCCACGGTTTCTGCATCCTGGAAGAAAAGCTGTCTGCTGCAAAGGACCAGTGCTGGAGCCACCACTGCAGAGATGGATCCCAACAGCCTCCAGGCCAAGCAATGCCACAGCCAGGATTAGAGCTGTAAAAGGACCTTGGGAGCAAAGTTCAACCCACTGTCCTGATAGGAGATTTATGCAGTCTATGGAGCAAAGCTAAACAGGGCAGCAAGCAGGATTTGGACTACGTGAGAGAGAGACAGGCTTTATTTGTGTTAAGTAAATAGGATAAAGTGAAAGGGGAAAGGGCAAAAAAGAAAATGTCAAGGCAGGTTGATGCCAACTTTTCCACATGGTCTCTGACAGCAAAGGCTTCAGTGCAGGGTGCTCACTGTGAGACAGATCAGGCATGGATTTTCAGAGGTGCTCAGTGCCAAAAAACCCTGAATTCATACTGGCAGTCAAGATGCTTTGCTGAATGAAGAAGCTGGGTGATGTCCTGATCCAGAAGTGCACCACAGCTAGCACCCACAGCTGATTTCCTTGTTTTGATAGCAGTCACCAACCTAACTCCCTCGTGGCGCTGAGCCTGGTGCAATACCCAGCATGAACTTGAGTTCGGATGAGGAGTCTTCTGAAGATTTGTAAAATTGTCTTGTAAAATGCTTTTCTAAGGACAATTAAGCATCAGTGCAAATAAATATAATTTCCTTAAAAGTTCAGGGCTTTGTAGGGCCAGATGACATGCAAATCAAAGGGTTTCCTGCACTGATAAAATTCCAGGAAATATGGGGCAGAGAGTAAGAAATAGAGAGATAGCCAGAAACAAAATGCTCAGATCATCTATCCAAAATAGTTGCTTCTCCAGCCAAATTACTCAGTCTTTTGTGAGAAAGATATCTTGGTTTGGCAAGGAGGAAAAAAACAGCTCCACCAGACAATAAATAAAGGCTCCAGTTGAATTCTAAATACCAATAATGCAATGGAAACTCAGCTTGTTCTCTGCTGTGGTAAAACTTCCGGTTGAAACCCTGAAATGAGTAACCCTTGAACAGGTACAAGAGGCCTTGGGCTGATGCTAGCAAACATCAGAGTTTCTATTGGCTCAACAAAAGCATTCCTGCAGATTTGTCTCCAGAAGCAGCTCATTAAAATGAGCTGTGAATCACTGAGATAAATGTCGAATCAAACTGATAAGCTTCTTATATATACCAAATTTACATGAGTATCAGACATCTCCCTTCATTAGGCTGGTTACTACCTACCCTGTAGCTACAACTGAGGCTCTGCTGTTGCAAAGTTTTACTGCACATATTTATGTAGTCAATAACAAATTTATCTGCAAATTAATTTGTCTGCAGTAACTAAAAATGCTCCTCTCTTGCTTCCTTGCTCCTTTCTTGCCCAAACCATAAAAACTCTACTATTTCTGAGAACCACTGGAATGCCTATGCAGTAAACATAGAAGAGCAGGTCTGTCTGTTGATTTACTATGTGACTTCAGCTAAGGCATATTGCTCTGCACTTATCTTCCGTAATAAATAGGAAAATTAAATCTCTGAGCTCCCACCCCACCCCAGAGCTGTGCACTCTCAGAGCTGTACAAACATGTACTACTCAGAGCTTGCCACAAATGTGCAGCATGCCCAGCCATCCAGAACTTTCTAAAAGTCATTATTTTAAAAATGAAACAAATAGTTTGCCCTCAGCTTCACTTTTTAACTAGTGTGGTAAAAAAAAATATATATAAAAAAGTTGTTTCATAATTGCTATTACAGAAGAGACTTGCAGTATATTTTCCACTACCAGCACAATTAGACCTTACTCACCTCAGGTGCAAGAACAGGCGTGCCGACTTTGACTATACACCTCATAATTCCTGACTCAATTAGCACACAGCAGATAATCATTCCTGCTTACCCTCACTGGCTTCTTCCCTTATTTCCACTGGGTTTTAAGTGGTTGTAATCTTGCAGCTACAGCAATGGATTCTTGTTTTAAACAGCTCAAGAGAGAGAGAAAATGAATTAGAACAATTAAAGCCTTTTTCTTTTTTTCATAATATCCAAACCTTGGGTCCTAATCCAAACTGCCTGTAATTTAAAAAAGTAAAATATACACCACAGTATCTTGGCTGGCTGCATCAAGGGTGAAGCTTAATGGTATCTTGCTCAGAGCCAACACAAAGACATTGCCAATCATTTCCTTTATTTTAACAAGTCCCCAGCACACACAGCATACCTAACACCCAGCTTTCCTTATGATGCCCACCTGTTTTCCAACAAAAACAATCTAAAGCCTTCTGGTGATCATGGGGATTCCAAAAAAATGAAAACTGACTCCCCCTCTTCCCCTGTAACCAGCTGATTACAGTCTGTTCAAAGCCATCTAACCAAAATCAACACACACTTGACAGCAGTGAATGGCCATCAGGTTTTTCGATCAAATTACTGCTTAAACCCCCTAAATTTTACCAACAAAAACACTGTCAATAAACTGTCCTTTTCCCAGATGGGGAGGAGAAAGGACCATGACCATCTGTCTCTGAGCTACAAATGAGCTGTGCTGTGTCTGCTCAGCCAGCTCTGTCTCACCTACAGCACACCTGGCCCACAAACCTCATTGATCTTCAACAGAAAACCCCCAGCCAGCTGTTCTCCACCGAACCTTTCTAGAGCTGAAAGCTCTGTGTGCTTTGCAGTGCCAAATGCTTCACAGCAAGGGAGTCTCTGTGGCCACCCACATTATATTCAAATGCACAAATGAGCCAAGGAGGTTTGCATAAACAACTTGGTACAAAGTGCTGAGATGCTGCTGTATTTCTGCATGACAAGTTCATTACCACTTGGCATTGGCTCGTGCTGATGTACAGTGAAAAAGAAAAAGGGGAGAGACTCTTCACAGTTACATTAATTTCATTTTATTTAATAAAAAAACAGTATCAGATTAAAAATACAAACACTTCGGGTGATTATCCAGCGTTTTTCCCTGTGTGCCTCATAGAGCTCAAACCAACCAAGGATTGGGAGAAAAAAACAAAAAAAACCCAAAAAATAACACCAAACAATTTTGGCCGGAGCTGTAAAATAATGTTGCACCAATTAAATTACACCAAATATATTATTATAACTTTGAAATGGCTTTCAGACCAATAAATAAAAAAAAAGAAGACAAATTCAAATAAAAAAGTTGACTTTGTATTATAAAAAAAATTAAATAAGAATCACAACACTAATAGTAACAATGTGCAGTCAAGTTTGTTTTTTTTCTTCTCTTCTAGGAATGATAACATGCCAGTAAACATGTAACATGCCAGTAACATGCCAGTAAATCCCTACATAACATTTCCAGTTTGGCAGCAAGCAGTCACTCAGTCATTCACATTTGTACACAAGGAAGCAGGCCTGGGCAAAAGCCTCGGAGATAGGAGCCCTTCAGAGTGCTCCTCACTGCCCTGCCACGGCTGGCTGAGCTCCCTTCCCTTCCTCCTGAAACCTCTGTAAATCCACTCAAGGTTTAGTGCCAGATGTGCAGGGAAGGTGTGATGCTCCGGCCTCCCCAGGACAGCACTGACTCACACCAGCTGAGGATGCAGCTCTTACACCCCAGGGCATGACTTAAATGTTGTGGCTGCAAGGCACATACCCCCTTGTTTCAGAAAGGCCATGGAGACTACATTGAGTTGTTTTAAAATGCACCACAGCAAACCTCTTAATTCAACACACTGCAAAATGGGGTGCTGGTTTGGGATGGGGTAAAAGAGCACATGCAGGGCTTGTGAGAGAAGATGAGACATCTGAATATTATACAGAGAGGTACACATCTGTAGAGAAGTGACCTGCAGTTGCCCTTCCTGAGCAAACAACAGTGAGCCACATTTCACTTGACCACCTGAGAGTAGTCTCTCAGAGATTTCATGGTATTGACACTGTTTATTTCAAAGTCAAATTTGGTCCAGTGTAAGTGAATAAGCAAAAAGTAAAGGTTTTCCACAGAGGCAGATTAACCGATTTAAGAAACTCATGTTGGTTCACTTTATGCTGGGTAGCCCACTTAATTTTTAGGAAGAACCAGCAGACTTAAGTACCATGACACACTGAATAAGAGGAATCTGCAAGTGAAATAGCTCTCTGTCTCAGATGCCAACGATATATGGACTTATCCCCGATTCCCAAGGAATCCCCAGAGGAACTCTATTCGGTTTCTGCACCATCTCTAGGATCTGGGACACAGTGGGTCAAACTCTGCTTTCAGTTCCAGTCGGGCAGGAGTGAGACCAGAACTTGCCCATGTCCCTCTGCTCTGGGTATGAGTGTGGATACAAGCTTTGCAGCTGTGGATCATTTGACATCATCAGCTGAAACCTGTGATTTAATCACACCAGTGCACCTCCAAGAAAGCCAGAGGTTATGTGCTCATGGAAATGAGACTGAAATGGGCCTGAAGATTCCAGTTTGCCCAGGCCTGTCAAACACACAGTGCCTTTCTGACATAGGCTTACATTCAGGTAATCCAGTAGACCCATGTGGTACCTTTATGGGAGTTGAAGCCTTTGGTCTGGATAGCTGGCTATGTCTGAGAACACAAACACACATCTTTTTTTTTTTCAAACTGGTATCATTGCACACTCAGTACCAGCTACACTAGATAGAGGCAGGCCCACAACTTTATGCTAACTTATTAAATCTACCGTTATAATTTCATCACTCAATTCTTTCTGCTCCATTACCACCAAACTAGAAACATTTTCATCTGCAGAAAGGCATCTTTCCACTAACTTTCTGACCTCTATCCATTTCCTACATTCTACAACCTTTTCCTTACCTAACATTCTGATTGCAAACTACTGTCACCCCCAAATACTACAAGCTAGCAGCAAGGTGGCACCATTTGCTGACAGTGACTGAACTCTAGATTGGAGGGTCAGTTAACCCTTGAGACCCTTTGTCAGATCCATCTTTGGGCATTCATCTGGCTGGCCATTTTGAAAGAATAACAGATTGAACATATGGGTTGAAATGCCTTAAAATGTAATTTAGCTGCTGATAACATCCATTCCTTCCAGTTGCCATTATAAATTCTGTGGCTCTATTTTTGCTGGTAGTTGGAAACAATTTTAGAACTTTCTACTCACTGAAGAGCAATGGCTCTGGACACTGTGGGAGGTCCAGATATGAATGTCTGCTCCACTGCTTGTCCACAAACACCTCATGAGGTTTTTCTGGGGCAAGTCTCTCAAATTATCTTAGAATATGTTCAGAACCTCTCAGGTCATTCTGGTGGAAGGGACCATACTGACCACCTAGCCTGGTGTCCTGCATAACACAAGCCAAAGATTCCCACTGTGCAATCACTGTACTCAGACAAATAACTTCAGAGGGAGATAAAGCCTCTTGTTCTAAAAGGCATCCAAATCTGACTTGAAGAATTCAGCTCTTCTCTTAATAAAGCCTACCTAATATTAATTACAAACCTCTCAAAACGTATCCCTCACTTCCAGTTTTAATTCTGTCTAGCTCTGACTTTGAGCCATCAAATCTTGATGCTTTTGTCTGCTAGCTCCTGATGTGCTTTCATCACAGATACAAAGACCAAAGGTTTTTCTCTGGTCACGTAGGTAATATTTTGAGAACACAAAATTAGAGAAGTGTGAGATGGCTTTAGGGCAACTTTACTCGGAGTTCAGCTAAGTAGGTGCAGTCAGCTACTCTGAATCAAAACCTACCATTGTCACCAAATCAGTGACCTGGCTTACTCCATCATAAAGGTACACAGAATAACTCCCTTCCCTCCCTTTTCCATCTTCCCTCTGCTAGTTGAGCTTGTTGCAGATCTCTAGGGCTTTCTTGTAGACCTGAGTCACATCATCCATGTCTGTGAGAAGAGAAAAACTGCTGTCCCCCAGACGGTTGCGGTAACGCTTTAGATACTGTGGCCTTGGGCGGTTCTGAAGTCCTTCGAAGTCTTGGATCTGGAGGAAATTTTCAGCAGAGACACAGCTCCGAATTCTCTGCCTGTTTGGCCTGTTCTCTTGCAAATCCAGCAAATCAAATGAGTCACTGGACAAAATACTGTCATCACTAATTACGCTGGAAGGGCGACTGTAACTTCGAGGTAACGCGTCCCCAGGCAAGACCATTTGTTCCATGGCCTCCAGCGTTGGTGTGTCAGGGCTAATCAAAGCAGGTTCAGTGCTGTTGGTAGAATACTTGCTGTTATGTTTCAAGATGCCCTTACGCCTGCAGGAATGGATGTAAGACCCATTTCTGGATGGCTCTGTGACCCCTGGAGAAGTGTCACTGTTTACTGTCTCATCATTGTTGTCCAAGAGTTCAGAAGATTCGCTTCTTTCTGGAGAGGAGTAATAGCCAGACTCCCTCTGCTGAGTCTTCTTTAAGATTCCTTTTTTTGGCATTAGTGAAGACTGCTTAGTGCCATATTTGCCAGCTACCTCTCCCTCTACAACACTCTTAATGGCCATGCCAGTCCTACACAACTCTTGCTCCAGCTTAAAAGCAGAGGGTAACACTGGGCTGACAACTCCTTCAATGAAACCTGCACTGTGAGAGCGATGTTCACTGTTGCTCCTTTTCTTCAGGATGCCTTTGGGTCTCTTGGAGGTCGGTTTGGTTGCATTTTCAGCTCCTCCTTCCTGGATGGACTGTGCAATGTCATTTTCCTTTTTTGATTTTTTCAGAGACCGTTGTCTCTCTAGCGTGACTTCAGGACCTTTGGGCTTAGAAAGGCACTTGATTTTGGTATCAGTCTCTGGTTGGAGGCCAGTAGAACGGTGATGCCAATCAATGAACCTTGCCAGCAGTGGGGACTCGGAGTCCCTCATGGCATCACAGTCACAGACACTGCTCTTGTAGCCCCAGTTAACCCACCAGTGGTTGGCAATGTCTTCAATGGTTGCTCGGCGTTCAGGGTTCACCATCAGCATCCACCTAATAAGACCACGAGCATCTGTGGATGAAGAATGGCATATCAAATATTTAGAACATGGACATTCTTAGGTTTGTCAGTTAAAATTGAAAGTGTGAAGACAATCAAATGAGCAAAAATAATGCTCCGTATGACAGAGAAAGTGAAAGGGCTTTGACCATCCGTCAATGATGGAAAATGCCTCTGAGCACTACTTTTTATCAGAAAAATGAGAGTCACTCTGGAAAATATACACTGGGCTATCCTATAAATTAATGTTTGTACTCTGTTAGACAGTGAATAGTTCCATATTACTGAAGGAAGTCACCAACCTATTGATTCTAATGAAAAAACTCAGAGGAAAATAAAACGGAATTGGGATATTTAAAATGATCTATACATTGCTTCTGTATTTACTTTTTCCATAAACAATGTAGTATTCTGTGTATTGTAAAGGTTTATTTTCATACAGAGAGCAAGAAGACAGAAAATTGACAGGAATGGCAAACAACCAATACAAGATAAATATTAATTTAAATATAATATTTGCATAGATACTTAAGGCTGGAAGGAGTCATTATCATCAGTGAGCCAGACTTAGCTGCTACTTTTCTGTCAGGTGACTGCTTAATGTGCTATCCTTGAAGCCAACATGAACGTAGTAGCATTAATTCAGATTTTGGCCTGCCTTCATTAATAAGAGACTGTGCTGCTCTGACCATTCACCCTCTCTGCTTGTAATAGCCCACAGTGTAGTGAGAGGATTAATCTGTACCAGTATGTTGTGGCAGCTTGTCTGAACTATTCAACTTGCAATAGCTAACAGACCTTCTACTGCCACAGATCTACTTAAAAGAGTCCATTACAGCTCCCCAAAGCAACAACATCTATCTGCTACAAAACTTTAATTTCAAAAGGGCTTTTGGAAAGTGCTGTACCCAGATGGGAATTTATAGCAGATGAACTCAGTAGGAGAATGAGATTATTTTTGGTGTACATCGTTCTAATGTGACATGGTAACATGCTGGAAGGGGACAAACAAAATGTTCCACTCTGAACTGCTGTCAGCTCAGTACATGGCTCTTCCTCCTTTTTCATACCTGAGGTCTGCGTTGGCTCACGATATTCTCCACTGCTGATCTGCCTGATGAGATTTTTGTGATCGAAGCCATCAAAGGGCATTGTTCCATAAACCAGAGTGTAAAGCAATACACCAAGGGCCCAGCTGTCAACCTGAAATACAGACACAACACGTGTGAAGCCCAGGAAAGTGAATCCCTGCCCTTCTGCATGCCATTAGCACCACAAGAGCAGCCTCGTGTCCAGCTGCACCTACTGCTGGTCAAACTTGTATCTAACATCTCAATAACCACCCACAGGCAACATAAACAAAAGTGAAGCAGCTTCAAATACAGGACAGACCCAAGTGAACTCACATGTACAGTAACATGTGCGTTAAGATTACCCCTCAAGAACATCACAGACATCTCCATACCACCACAGAAAAACTAACCCTTCTTACCTCTGGGCCTCTGTAAGGCCGTCCATTAACTATTTCAGGGGAAGCATACAGTGGGCTTCCACAAAAGGTCTGCAGAAACTTGTCTTTATGATAAAGGTTGGAGAGTCCAAAATCAGCAATCTGCAAATAGAATGGCACAAGGCATTTGTAATATTAATGATTTCTTCAAGTAACAAAAAAATGCTTTAGCAAGAAAGACTTAGCTATATTTGTCTCTGCCATAGGGCAAGGAACTCAATATGGATTTTACTTTTCTCTCTAAAGGTCCCTCAGAGAAGGGCTCCCAGGTCAAGTCCTGCTGATTAGGAACAAGGAAGCTTTGGGCCCATTCACAGACAGGCCAGCAACTGCACAACCATCAGCTGTAATTTTACCCTGGATGAATTGCATATGCTCGCAAAGACAATCTCATACTGGGAAGCCTGCTGTCCAATGACTGCTCTTCATCTTCTATAGTCATTAATATCAGAGGAAAACAAGCAGAAAGTACCACCCTTGTTATCACATAGATGCAAGCCAAAAGCCACCACCTTTAAATTCAACAAGAGGAGGGAGGCAGGAGTGTTGCAGGAAGCTAAGCATTGCTGAAGGATGTGATTTTTGACATCATCTGGAATGAGGGTCAAAGTGAGGCAGTCACTCCTCCAGATTCAGGGACATAGGGCTGAGGAATCTGAGTTGGTAAGCCCATGAGATGTCTATCACGAGATAATAAACACAAGTCTGGTTCCTAACTGGAAACAATGGGCCCAAATCCGACTTTCCCAATACAAACAAAACTTCCCTTGGGACTGTTGGGAATTTTGCCCATGTAGGAATTGCAGGATCAGGTCCAAATATTTTGTTTACTTCAATTCTCTGTTCTTGTTCTTACAAAACAAAGGCTGAGGACAGTAACACTAAATATTCCCACAAACTCTGCATTTTCTTTGTTTCTCTAGCACAAGGCAACACATCTCATTTTCATCTTGTTTAAAACCCAAATGTTTCTGCTTCCCAGAGATACTTGTATTGCTGCCCACAATCAACATAATGCTTACATAAAAGACATAAAGCACAGGCATAAAAAAGGTATTGTAGATACAAAAGACAGGAGTTTTCTCTGGGTTTTCTTCACCTTATCTATTTCTTTTCTACCAGAAAAAAATTAAATGCCAGGAATTTTCACAAGAGAAAATTCAAGAAAGCACAAAGTGAGTGGGAAAGAAAAAGATTTGCCAGCATCATCATTCACTCTTGGCTTTCTAAAATGTCTATCATCAATGCCTCTAATACCTGTTGAATTACAATGTTCAGTGAACTCTTGGAAGAGGCAAAGTCTTTGTCTCTACTACCTCAACTGGTACAGCTACACTGTACCAGAAAAATGACACAGGTGAGACCAGAACAGGAACATATATATCCTTTCTAAACAGACAGATATATAGTTGTTAAGATACTTTCACATTAGAAATACAAACTTTTTAAATATAGCCTTTTTACACAATTTTTAAAGTCACAAGTCAGATATGAGATTTCATGCTTCACTCTTCCCTATTTTGATGTTCTGCTTGTGCACGTGTTTCACTGGCAATCTGTATTCATCCTGCTCAAAGAGCAGCTATTTCTGTTCATTAATTTTAATTCATCTCACCATGTTCATTCACAGATTGAGTTCACTCAGTCCCTCAGACAGTGTATTATCAACCCACAGTAGAAAATTCAACCCTCAAATAAATGCGGTTTGTAAAATCTTCATTGTATGGTTGGAATGTCATTGAAAACAGCTGGTGTAGAATTGCAGTCTGCAAACATATTCTCATGGCTCAGATTGCACTTAATTGCCTTAAATTCCACTTTCTTATCAAGTCACCCTGCCTGGCTTGCAGGAAGTTGGTTTTAAGCCTTATGAAGTGTGCCCTGTCAATCAGGGGAAGAATGGGATCATTTCAGTGCTAAAAATTTGTGCTGGTCATTAATTTTTATTTTAGTTCGGGATGCAGCTAAGACAAGGACAAACACTGCAGTGTGATTCTTTATGAAAATACATTCCCTTAACACCATGGAATGTACAAAATGCATTTGGATGTGCATAAATATACATATATATGTGTATATATATGTCTGTGTGTGTGTATATATATATATCTAGGGATACACATACCATTGTTCATTCTAAGAAACTTTCAGACTTGGGCATTCATGTTTTCATTTTGACCATTCAGGAAAAGAGTATTTATGTTACAGTCCACTCCCATGCTCAGAGACTGATGTTTATCAGCTTTTCCCATTAAAACTGTCATGCCCCCCAAAACAAGATTAATAGAAGCCAACATTACTTCATGTTCTTGGCACTTAAATGGAACTAAGGCATCAAGTCAAAAGAACTTCCTAAATTGGGAGGAGCAGAAAAGTGGACTTTTATTCCCCTTGCTTCAAGAGTGTGTTTTGTATTTACTGTTAGCTATGATAAACCAGATGTAAGTTATTGCTGAAGTGTGGAATATAAATTCCACAAAGTTCACACTCATGGAAATTGTCAGTTTTATCCCACTTAAGAATCTGTCTCCCTGCACTGCAGATAGAGAAATAACTAGGTCTCTTAAAGCAAATGAAATGTACGTGCAGTTGGTGAGACTTCCTGCAAAGTAAATCCCAATTCCATACACTTAGTCTGTATATATGAAACCCTCGTGGGTTTTTTAGTGGTTAGTCTGATTGGTGTCCCCTTACCAGCCCAAGAGAATGTGCAGTTAGCAGGATTATGTTACTGTTATACTTGCATTGTTCTACTCTGCTATCACTTTGGGGTTGATCGTACCGTTTACGTCAACCTCTGCTAGACATCTCTTAGCTGCAATTCCCAGCCTGTTCTCATCCCTACTGTGAACACGGGTGTTCAGTCTCACATGTGTTTAAAGCTCATTTGAATTCATTTATGTCTGCTGCATTTAGTGGTTTTCAGTAAAAATCTGCAGGAAGTAGTACTGCATACAACAAGTCCATGAAAAACCTAATAATACACCTCAGATTGGATCACCTTTCTCCTCTCATTGCACTCCACCTCTGCCTGAGGATATGCAGGACTCTTCAAAATGTGTAATTCTTTTGTTGCTTCCAGACACTGGTGTTTCCTTGTTGCTGTATTCTAACACATGACCCTGCTTGCAGAGATTTTTACTCACCATCACAACTCTTAAAAACAAAAAAAATCTCCCTTCTTATGTCTCCATACACTCCTTTATGGCCTTCATTTAGTTATCGAAAGCTTAAGAATGGTTTCCAAGTTAGTGTAGTAACAAGTAAAAAGGCCTGGGGCCCTTTTAGGTTGGATAATAATTTCTAATGGATTATTTGTCCTCTTTATTTCCTGTTTTAAAAGTATTGTTTAAGCTGCTATGCAGGGATCCATTTTTACAACATCTTATTTTTTCTTCACATTATTATGACATGTTTTTGTAAATCATAATGCATAGATCACTGGCTTCATCAGGAACATGTATTTAATTGCACATTGCACCCAAGAACAAAGATGTTACTTTAATTTTCTCATTCTTAAAATCAAACTGCTAATTTTGTGTTTGTAATCCACTGAATGAAATATAAATACTAGGAAAGTACCAACAAGACTACAAATCCACTTCTAGAAAGTGCCTTCCCCTGAGTATTTGAAGCCTTCAGTCAATACCAAACCTCAAACTGCATTTTTTTTCTGCCTGAACACACCACATGTAAATACTCTCAGAATGAGGACCTGATAAATTTACTCCTAATAAATAATTTACAGTTCCATATGTGTTTCCTTGCCAACGGTTACTGTTTAGTGACACAAAGAAAAAGTGGGAAGTAAAATTCTGTGCAAGTAACACAGAAACCACAGCAACATATTCAGAGCTTCAGCATGAGGGAAATAGTGGCTGCATGCTTAACATCAAGTACTCAAAGCTGACCTAAGTCACAAGGTTTAAAAAAAGAGAGCACAGAGAAAAAGGAAAACCTTACCAAAAGTCACCTCTTGAAGCAATCCAAATTCAAACACTATTGACTGTAAGATGTATGAAATATCAGTAACTTCCCGAGTTCAGTCTGGTTTTCAGTTTCATGAGACCCTCTGCAGAACTAGTGACTAGGGGACAGGAAAGAAGCCACTTGCCCATGCCAAAGAAGCCTTGCTTGCTCAGAGGCCTTAACATTGAAGAGATGTAGCTGAGGAAAGGCTGGAAATATGAAAAATTCCTACAGTTGTTTAAACACAACGCAAATCAGGAAAGGGAAACCCTCAAGAAAAAGACATCCAAATGACTGGAAGGAATCTGAGCAGGCAGAGCTACCTGAATTTCTTCCACAGCAGTGCCACTCACTATGGCAGCTGAAATGCAGCCATGGTTCTGAAGCCCCTGGGTCAGCTCCAAGCGTGCACCAAAAAAAGCTGCCTGTCCTTGCCCCATCCTTCTGCTCTACCCACAGGAGAACGACTCCCACAAAGGAGAGAGAGGCAGGAGCAGAGCTGTCTGACAAAGCTCAGCTCCCCAGAGGCTTGAGGAAGTGATTGGTTTTGCATATGAGGACCACAGTGCAAAGATCCAGCCCTGCACAGCTAGTGAATTCCACAAATTCCTCTTTTCTCTCAAGAATTCTCTGATTAGCTGGGAAGATAGTTTGGCGTGTAATGTGGAAAGAAAGGTCATCCTGCCTACGGAAGTGTGATTCGTATACAATGTCCTAGAAAGGCTAGTTTTTGTTTTCAGCACTGCTGAGAACAGCTCTGGCTGCTGCAGACAGTGTCCCTGTAGGAACAGGAGAGGGGAGGTCTGCTTCAATGCTGGATGCTAACAGCAAAACATCCAAATATTGCATTGGATGGGCCTTCCGTAAAAGACTATTTTTGGAAACCACATATTTATGTGCCTTTAATCCACTAGTTGATCCAAGTTAGCTTCTGTCATCAGTGTTACACAGATGGCAGCTACCACATGTTACTTTCCATTTCCATTGCAAATCAGCTCGAAATGAAGACAATCTCTCCAGTGTGAAGCACAGAAGGCAGTGTCTGCAGCCCCGGGGCTTTCAGGGGATACAAAAGGAAGACACAGGACATTTAGGTACTGGGCTACTGCAAGAGCCTCCTTGGTTACTTTTTTAATTAAAGAAGGATGCTCAAGCATCAGCAAAAACTCTTTGGTGTTCCTCCCTCTGCTTGCTTGCCCATGGATGAGCACATCCAGCCACCCTTACATGCAGCTACCCGAGGAGGAACAAAGTGGAAAGTGAAACAGGTTCAGCCACCTGGAAATTACACTTATTTTATAGAGGAATATAGATAGGATATATATAGGAAATTACTCTGGAGATTAAATCTCTGCATTATTTAACTTTATGCTACAGCTATAAACAATAGAAGAAGAAGACAGGAAAAAAGGTCATTCCCATGCTTTCACTGGGGAGAAATGGCATGGAAATGACATCACTGACATCACTATCCAAAGTATACGTTTGTGTCTGAAGTTCCAAGGCCATTTCCTAATGAAGCACATGCGCTTTACTAGGTTTATTTTGAAACCCCATTTGCTTATTTTTCAGCCATGATCAAAAGAACATTCAGACTGTTCTTGAAGGCACTTGAACCCTGTAAACCAGAACAGCTTTTTCCTAGCCCCAGAAGCAGCCAGCAATTAATATCATTTGTACAATAAGCCCGATTGCACGAAATGCTCTGCTATTTTCTACCAGGGGGTAGATACTGCATTGAGAGTCATGGCATTTGCGTGGCAGGACAGGGCTTTCTCCTCCAAAGTATGCAAACCTTCATTTACTGATTATTACTGGGAATCAGTGGAGTCTTCCCACAACCTCCAAACCTCTGAGCCTCTTGCCAGATGCTGTTGCTTAGTAGCTGTTACCATAACAATGGCTCTTCTAATACCTTGGGTAAAAATGTTATAAAACATGCAAATCCATTCTGAGAAGCTGAGAAAAAGAATCCTACCTTAATATTAAAATTGTCATCAAGAAGAATGTTTTCCAATTTTAGGTCCCTGTGGACAACACCGTTCTGAAACAAGGAAGAAAAAAACGGGGAAGAGCATGAGAAAATATTGGGAAAATTAAAGGTGAGCTGGCAGGGTGGTCTTTGCATCTACATTTTAGGGCTGATTTCACTGTCATAACACTCATGGCCCAGTGACTAGTGGCAGGCGCTGTATTAGTCACTTGATGTGTGGTTAAGGGAAGAATGACTGGAATCTGTCCTCCCACAAAGACTCTAAAACAGCAGGAGGGTGGGGAGGTGGATGGCTGGGGGGTGTCTTTTCGGAACTTAATTTCATCCTGGATCCTGCCCCCACTGTGTGAAAGCAGGATATTCTTCCCAGGCACCAGAAACCACTATCTGTCAATGACGTTAGCCCCTACAAAAGACCTCATTCCTCCAGTGAGCAGCCACGTGGATCGGGGGAGTTACAATCCCAAAGGATTGTAAATGTTAGGGATGAAGGCAAACAGATTTGGTCAGAGCCTTCTTTACAGAAACTTGGGAAAATTAACTGCATCAGGAATGGCATTGCTGCTTTTCAGTACTATGCAGTGAGGACTTTGAGAAACCCCCTTTTTTATTAGAATTCAATTAGAGACTTAAGTGTTTTAAGAATTCAAATTAAAATTGTGTTAGCTGCTCACAGCCTTTAGCTTCACACAAGTTCTGGATCTATGCAGCTGTTTCATAAACAGAGATAAAAGGTCCATGATGAATTGCTTGACTTGTCATTCCAAGTGGGTACCATGATGGATAAGGTCATTAGCAAATGGTATCTTTCCCACTACATCTGGTAAAGTTACTTTTACCTAGCCAGAATGAGTATGTACTAAAGCTCATGCATGAACCTCACAGTTTTCTCTTGTTTTTTCTTTCATATATTATATCTCCTATTCTAAAGTTGTTTACGAGCATATTCAAATTGCAAACTAACATTTGTTTGAATGCATTAATATTAATGCTGTAGAGGTTATATGGGATGCCTTCCGTAGTTCATAGTGTAATTTCTGAGTTTTTAATGTCAGGAGAATTATTTTAAAGGCAAAAATGCAAGGTAGGTCTAAAGTAAGGGTGTGTCTGGTATCTGCTGTAACACAGGAAAACAAAAAAAGGCACTAGCTCCATGTAGCACTTTTAATGAAGATCTCCTGTTATACTGATAAAATCATATGCTCTGATACTTAATAATGAATGCTGTTAACTCAGACATGCTTTGAAATATATGCCAGTCATCAGCCTTGAAACAGCATTTTTTACTATTGAATCCTTTGCTCACCTTGTGGCAGTAATGCACAGCAGAGACGATTTGTCGGAAGAAGTGTCTTGTCTCTCTTTCGCTTAATCGCCGCCTCTCACTGATGTAATCATACAACTCTCCTTTACTTGCATACTCCATGATGATCACAATCTTATCTTTATTTTCAAACACTGCACAGAAGAAACGGAAAGGAAAAAACACCACAGTTGATTCAATTATTTGAAATTTGATGCTTCAAAGAGTAAAGGAGACTCAGGATGTCCGATCACATCAACCACCACTGGGGGCTGGAAAGATGTAACAACAATCCCACTGCAAAAAAAGCAAGTTTCAAAGCTACTTTTTACCAGAGTAAGATTATAACATCTCAGACCAAGAGAAGGAGGTTGAGGTTATCCTCTCTTTCATATGGCTACATGAACTTCTCTGCCTCAAATAATATTCCCATATTCATAAGTTCACAAGTTCATAAGGTGGCAAAGTCAACTTTTCCTACTGAGGTGAGGTGGACACTTGTGCCAGTAACACATGAATACCAACTCCTGCTCCAGCATGGAATTTCTCGTACAAGTAGCCCAGCTGAGGCCAGAGGACAGAAGCAAACAGGAGCCCTCATATCATCTGGAAAAGGTTCATAGAAGGCATAATAAATTTTTATCTTTGGTGACGGATACAGGATTGCCATCGGGCTTACAGTGCCTGTTGATTGGCTTTCACCTACCACCAAGATTCAACAAGTGAACTGATAGATGTGTCCTCCTCCAGCCCAGCTCTGTGTGACAGCATGGCAGGCACGGGCACCTGAGCTTGCTGTGGCAGCAGCGCCTCCAGAGCTGTACAGCTTTTGTCAGTGTGGCTCTGCACCCCCTCTCATGCAACCAGCTCTTCCTCAAGGTTCCTTATCTCCTGCCCCTACCCATGTCCCACCGCATGTCACAGATTGTGCAGAGCAGGCAGCAGTACACAGCGCCAGCGTAAGCAGAGCAAGGAAAATCCATCTCATACACGTCACAGCCCCACTCTTCTTTGGGGCTGACAGTATGTCAGCTGCGTCACATGCTGTCAAGGACTTCACTGTGAGTGGCAGATAACTAATATTTAATCTAGTAAAGCAGGCTGTTAATAGTCTGGAACTGCTGTCATGTCCTGGCTGCTAAATAGTTCTTCTCTTTTCTCTCCAAAAATCCATTGCAACCCACTGGAAACTTCCTGCACCTGCCGTAGTAACCACTGTTATATGAAAACATGGTGATTTTCCTTTTCTTTTTATCTGTGGCAGCACTGGTCACACTGGTAGCAAGGTGTATACAAATTAATGAGGTTGAAGGGTTTATTACAAACAGATGGTAGTTTTGACCAGCCCTAATATAATGATGCCTTCCTGTAACGTTTTATCAAAGTTCAGCTAGTAGTCTTTGGTGATTTAAAAAAAACCAGCAGAATCAAGCTTCAGCTTTTGCAGTGAAATGTGAAGCTGACTCTCTAAACACACAGATATTTGCTTCTCTTAGGCTTGTCTCATGTCCTCTCACACCTTGTCACTCAAATCTACAAGCCAAAGCCTCTTGCAGCTCACTCTAACACCCCTGAACCCTAGCCAAACAGCTCTGATAAAAGGGAGAGCAAACAGCCAGATAAAATTGGCTGCTTACTTGTCTGCTGGCCTCACTGCACCCCAAAGCAGAGGCCTCTGCCAGCGATTACATCCTATGTGCATCCTCATTAGCAATAAACTTCGGAAACTGGAAAAAGCCGTCTCTGGATGGATTATACATACAGTATCCTCTCCAAAAATGACAGACTGATACTGTCTGGGAAAAACTGAACATGCCCCATGTCATGCAGGGAAGTGCTGTGATGTGTTACCAATAAAACAGCAATATGCACATTCACATCTCTAAGCTCGGAAAGGCTTGTTAGGTACAGGCCTTGTTGAAGAAGGCAAAAAGAAATTGTTTTAGTAAACTGAGACAAATCACTGAAAATGCTCTTATATAAGAGATCTGATTTAAAACAAACACATAAACCATACAACAACACCACCAACAACAAAATTCCTCCAAAACCTCAGCTGATTCCATGAGTTAGGCATTGCTGTATCACGCACATATAGGTGAAGTTGCCACACGGCACAAATGATCTGAGTGCACTTTCATGGGAATACACATCCCAAGGACTTCTGACTGAGGACCACCCTCAGCTAAGAGGCACGTTTGCCCTTGGCTCTTCTTGCCCCACTCCCCCAAAAGCTGATGTCCCACCAGGTGTTCAGTGCTGCTGATGACAATAACAGCAATAACATCCCTGCCACGATAGAGCATTCTTCCAGACTGTGTTTTCATGGAGGTTTTGCCTTCATTACTCAGTCCTAAGAGTTTTCTCAAATCATCCTTGATGTTCTGAAGTTTTAAATTCTAAAATCTAATTTCTTTGGACTCAAATTTGCCATATCAATACAAGTCCCTATCCAGATGTATTTTCCAACATTTCTACAGAAATGAGGTGGAAAGCATTTCGTTTGGAGGAATGTGTGCGTTCAAAAGCACTTTCCATTTCAAATTTTCTCTTACACCTTGTAGGAAACTGAGATAATACCATCAAGCTGAATTTAGGAAAGCGTAAATCCCTGTTCCAAATTCCAAATTTTTGTCACAAAGCCATACTAGAATCAATGAGAACAGAATTGTTCCAGAAATTCATATTTGGCTTTCAGTTTACTTGCACATTCTTCTTCATAAAGGAGAATTTTGAGATGAACTTAGGCGACATTACAGAAGCCTCCTCACTATCACCATGGCTGAACAATTAGAGAATTAAACAGCAATTTGTTTCTCCACCCAGGAGCAGAGGTGAATAGGGAGGTATTTTTTTACAACTGCATCACTTTGCTTCAGAGCACCTCCACTGTATCAGCTGAACCTCGTGAGTGGGCACGCAGCTACTTCCTGCAGAGAGGGAACTGAACAGCACACAGAATAGTCTAAAATGAGAGCTGAGGCTGAAGGGAAAGGAGGTTGAATGGCAGTGGGATTTATGTATATAGATACACATAGCCTTTAAGAGGAATTCAGTGGTCAAGACTATCAGGCAAATGACAAGATGGTATTCTGGCAAGTCTCACACCATCAGCCAAGTACACCATGAATTCTCACAGTACTATTTAAGATGTCAGGCAGGTTTCACACAGGCACTTCTGAATTTCCCTTCTGAGCACAGCATGTAGTTTTATAAACATATGCTCAAGAAAGCTTTGTGGCCAGTGGCTGGCGGAAGAGAGGAGGACATTAATTAAAGGTTGGATTGACTTACTGCAAAGAATAATGAGGTAATAAATATACTGCCCTGTTAGCACCTGGGCTGTAACCTGTGGGCTGATGATGGACGGGTTGCCTCCATATAGCTTCTGGGACTGCTTGGTTCACTCTTTGTTTTTGCTGCAGATGATTTATTACCTGCCATCCTACTGCATATTCATTCTGAAACTCACCCCCAACTAGAATTGTGCCTGAACCCTGGCTGCACCTACTGCCAACAGAGAAGCATGGCTTTGGCAGGATGCTGAACCCCAGGAACCTCCCAAATCTTGCTACTTCTGGGACAGCCATGTCATACAAGCCTGCTCCTCAGCCCTGAGCAAGGTCAAGGGAAGGAGGCCATGTATGAGTAAGGTAGGACTACTTTAATTTCTTTCAAACCATCAGTACTCTGCAAGTGGCAAGCCAAGTTAGATAAATGGAGAACTGCCAGTACCAACACCCAGACATGGACAGCAGGGGAGATGGCCTGTCACAATTAAGAATCAAGATAGTGGGGTTGCTTAGATACAAGGCACGAGTTTCACCTATTAGAGGGGACAGCAGCAGGAGAAATGCTTGCTACTGGTTGTGCATTTATTTCTGAGCCACTAAGTTTATTTTCACCACTCTGCAAGCTGAGTTACTCTGAGAGCTGCAACAAGACCTTGATGTGGCGGGAGGACTGCTGCACTGACTCAGCCATAGTGTCAACTGCTGCTGCAGAGTAGTGCCTGCAAATCACTGCTACTCCTTAGCAGACAGAGCCTGCTGGTTGAAGGATTGACTGTGGAGATGACCGCACTTTATGTGGTCACAGGGGAGGAAGCAGGGACAGCAGTGTGACAGCACATCAGGAACCAGGAGCAGGAACAGCATGAACCTCAAGGTGTGAGGAACAACGTGATTACATCCTCATGATGAGATGAGCAAAGGACTAGGACATTGGCCACAGAAACGTGGAGAAATAGCATTTTTCAGCACGCTACAAGCTTGTTTGGGCTTGGTCTGGTCACTCCAAAAGCCTTGGAAACCACCCAAGGAGCAAAGGGTACTTAAGATACAGCGGTCAAAGATTTCTTACTCTTCTTTAAACCCCACCCTTAACTCTAATGTGTTTGTTTCTTTTTTAAAAGTGACAGAGAAAAAGTCTGTACCTCCAGGCTCATAATTGGAACCAAATCTGCTGACTTCAAAGTTCCTTGAAGAACATAAATGTGAAATTGAGAAAGAATTTCACTTCTTGCTATCAAAGACATATCTGAGACAAAGTAACGTGAACAACCTGTCTCTCTTTTGCAGGTCGTTCTACTATAGTAATAGTTCTTGCATATAATCCTCCACTTATTTATATTTAGAGGCTGTGAAATTATGAACTCAGCTTCTATCTACAGCCTTCCGTTTTCCAAATAGAGCTGGTTGACCTCTTGCTCATCAGCAGTCTTCTTTTCAACCCAACTGCCAAACTCTTCCCTCTAGCTACACCAAAGTCACCTCCTCTGAAACTGATGGGACAAGTCTGACACCAAATGAACATACTTACTACATTAATTCACTGCTAAGATGTGCTTCACCCTAAAATTGTTGAAAGCCCAGATGGGCACAGTTTTGCAAACATCAGTCAGAAAGATTTTATGGTACACTGTACACTTCTCCATTAGGACAGGTCACTTTGGACTGACTTACTACCAGAATCAAAAAAAACCCAGGAGGCTTTTGCCCTTCCTCCAAGCTCACAGAATACTACAGTCAGAGTGAGTGCTGAGGGGGGTGGATTCTTCCCCCCACCTCCCCCACAAAGGACTACCTCGTTGTGGGCTGATTCCATTTGGTTTACACGTAACCCCGGGGTAAGGATTTTAGTTTGTTAGTTTAAG